AGTACTAACGATCTTATTGGTTATCGGTCAATTTTATTTGTTCAACAGAAAATTGTTTTAGGAACAACATTTACCCAATTAAACAAAAGAGTCAACGGTTGAACCATTCATACAAACGGGTCCAACTAATGAAATAATGCATATAATTTAGTTTGCCTAAATATCTAAAAGCAATATTCTAACAATCTTAATTTTTTTTAAAGTAAACAGCTACCCGCGCGGACGCACGGGTCAAAATCTAGTTTTTATAATTAAATCTAAAACCAAATAATTATAAAAGGATTTAGTTTTAGAAAGTATTTTCGCTAGCCAAAGAAAAATTTAGTCTTTGGCAATTTAAGATGCATGCATTGTTGAAGCAACAAGACCTTTAGGAACCATTGTCAAAAGAAAATCTGATGTTGCTGATTTGGAGAAGACTATAGAAAGAATTGATTTGGAGAAGACTATAGAAAATAAGATATTCTTAACAATTTTGTTGTGTCTACCAAATGATATCATGTTCGATGAGAAAATAATTGTAAGTTTGTGGCAGAAGTTGAAGAGTTTTTACATAATAAAATTACTAATGAATAAGCTACTTTTGAAGCACTGCTCTTTGTCGTGCATATGCAATAATATATTGAGCTTCGCAACTATCTTGACAAGTTAAATTTGATATTAAAGAAACTGTGTAACATTGATGTTAAGGTGGAGGATGAAGATGATGTACTAATCATGTTGGTATCTCTGTTAAACTCAACTTCGTACAATTGGCAAAGATATGGTGAAACTGAAAGAAGTTAAATCGGCATCTCATAGTCGGGAATTACGTCATAAGGCATTCAACTCAGGGAAAGATAATTACGTTAAGAGGTTGTTTGTTAGTGGTGTGAATGGACATGGAAACAAAAGGAAATCAAAAAACAAGAAGTCGTTCCCAGGAAATTCTAAACCACTGGATACTGAAGCATCCTACCATATGACACCGAGGACAGAATGGTTTTCACAGTATACAAAAGCACTTGACGGGAAGAATAAGATGGCAAGCTTAGGACACACGATGGTAGATTCTACACTTTGAACGAGGTTAGAGGGTCCAAATATTCTGGTGATGATATCTGTGAGTATCCTAGACAGTAGAGGGCTCAAATATTCTAGTGATGATGGAGTTTTGAATGTCTACAAAGATGCTAATGTGATTCTAAAAAGTTTCATGAACGGTACTATGTATTTTCTAAAGGTACTACCGTTACTGATAGCAAATGTTGCATCACTAGAGATCACAGAGGAAGATATGACTAAGCTGTGGCATATGAGACTTGGATATATGAGTGAACATGAGACGCAACTTCTGTCCAAGCAAGGTCTTCTTTGTGGTCACAAGACCAAGAGTCCAGATTGCTGTGAGCATTGCGTTTTTGGAAGCTGCATCAAAAGAGCTTTCGCAAGGCAATTCATAAAACAAAAGGCACACTAAATTACATCCATCCATCCAGAGTGATTCACTGAAGGATCACAAATATTTTGTGTCTCCACTTGATGATTATTCGAGGAAGACTTGGATAACATTTATGGAGCACCAAAGTGAACCGTTCAGTAGCTTTAAGGAATGGAAAACATTGGTGGAGAATCAAACATAGAAGAAGGTGAAGCGGCTTCGTACTAATAAGGGTCTGAAATTCTGCTCGACAGAATTCAATCAGTTTTGTAAAGATGCAGGGATTGCTATCTTACAGACAAAAAAACACCAAAACCAAATGGTGTAGCAAAACGGATGAACCAGACATTACTAGAGAGAGCAAGGTGTGCACTCTCGAATGCTGTTCTGGATAAGCGGTTTTAGGATGAAGCAGTTAACACGACTTGCTAAACCTCAGTCCCCACACATGCATCGAGTGCATGATACCTTCTGATGTGTGGTTCATGTAGATCTGCTGGTTATTCACTTCTAAGAGTGTTTGGTTATATCGTTTACTATCATGTGAGTAAAAGTAAACTAGAACCGATAGCAAAGGAAGGGAGTATTTGGCCACAGTGATGGAGTCAAGGGCTACATGATCTGGTCTCCATCAGAAAACCGAGTGGTTATAAACATGAATGTTGTCTTTGATAAAACATCAATGGTTAGAAACTCAGAATCTAGTTTTGAAAAAGAGAAAAGTAGCACTTACAAACAAGCGAGCTGCAAGATGATCATGAATGATATGCACAAATAAATAGAAAATTCAGACTCGTACGGAAGATGATGACATAATTACCATTACAACACTCTTAAAAAAAATCAATAAGAAGACCCAAAAATGTTGCATTTAACTTGAACTTGGGCTGTGACAAACTAAATCAAACCCACTAACCACAACAAT